GTACATCAGAAAATGCGCCTTGAGGCATGGAACATATGTACCAAATATGCCAAAGATGTCTACAAAATTATCTCAGTTATTATTAAAAAACTGATTATTTTTGAAAACTTTGCCACCCTGTATCTCAAAAGTTAAGGCGTTTAGGACATACGTCCATAGGAAGTTTTTTTCTTAAAATGGGTCTAAGAATTACCTCCTTAAATATTAGCATGTGTTTAAGAAACACCCTGCATAAGTGTTTTTAGAAAGAGAACATTGAGTTTCAATCCGATTTCTTCATATTTCTTCAATGTATCAAGTATAACCAGTTTCCTATGAAGCTTAAAACAATCTCAAAAATTAAAGAATTCAAATATGCTATCGAAAAGCATATATTAGGAAATTCTAATATACTCAACATATTCTGAAAATATATTGAAATGATTTACCAATAACTCATTACTTAGTGCTGGAGGTGGCCTCCAGTTTACTTTTTTTTCGACTTTCACCCCTATTTTGATTTTAATTTATTGTCACTCTTGTTTAAACAGGCAAAGAAAATAAATGATTTGTTTGAATTATTTGTGGAGTGAAATAAATTTGATTTGAATTTGATTCGATTCCATTGCATAAATTTATTTTTCTAAATACATACTTTATTCTATTGAAAAAAAGAATAAAAAATATATATTTCTTCCTTCAACATACTAACTGAACTATGAAATAAATAGTTTCAATGTCGGTTTCAGTCCATTTTTCAAGAAGATCAAAGCTTTCTGAATTCCCCGTTAGATGGCAATGTTGAAAATAAATATGCTGTAACATTTTCTGTTGCTTCTTTATATTCATTCAATAAATTTATTCTGTGACAGTAAATAGGCTGCAAGAGTTCTGGCTCATTCCTTATGGATCATAGGTGGCGCCAGTGTGGTGTACTCGCGACGATGCATCTGGGTCACGTGACAATTTGGAGCGCTCTGATTGGTGTACTCGCCATTCTCTGCCGTACGCGTGACCTTGAAAGGAACCAAAAATTGCAGAATGGACCTTAGCCATTTTCCATGTTAATTTCCATAAGGAATGAGCCAGAACTCTTGCAGCCTATTTACTTGTGACATTTTCAAAGGATTCATTGAGGTTTTTATTATCAGTCCCCAAATCGAAATTAAGTATTTAAATTTAGAATGAACCAAAGAAAAGTTTGAGGTACGATTAAAAAAGTTATAGGAGATACCCACTTTCTCAGTACCTGTTTATTATTTCATTTCAAATTTTCATCATGAAAAGCAAAACTCAAAGAAGCATTCCATTTTGAATCTCACTGATTTATTATGGCATATTCATTTTCACACATAATACCAAAATGCAAATTCTTACCTAAATCAATTCGGCACGCAACATTCCATGTTCGACTGAATAACTGCTGACAATATTTACCGGTAATTGGCTTCGACCTACCACCTTCGGCACGAGATAAAAAATAAATACTTGCTTTGAACCTATTGCTAATTTTCTCACTTCCTAAGGCACACAGAAGCATACCCCTATTAATGTCTTTCAATCGTATCCCCCTTAAGAGTGCACCAATATTCTCACCCGCTACAGCCTGAAGATGAACAAAAATTAAACTAGAAGTAGTTATTAAAATCTTCTCAAAACACTAACAACTTACTTGCGGCACACTTTTTTTGAACACTTGTATATCAGAGACAGTTGTTTTGAGTTGCAAATCAAACCCTAACAGCTCAGCTTCAGTGTTCTTTTTAATGGTGCCTTTATTGATAGTACCTACAACAACAGTTCCCCTGCCAGGCACCAAAAAAGCGTTATCAATAGGCAGCACGAAAGGAGACGTAGTGTCTCTTTCAGGATCTGGCAGGTAAGTATCTAAAGTATCAAGAAGCTTGATTATGGAGTTTTCTCCCAGCTTGGAGTCTTTCCCATTCAGAGCTTCCAAAGCTGATCCAAATATGACCGGTGAATTATCTCCATCGAATCCAAAATCCTCCAATAGCTCACGAATTTCCAGTTCAACCAAATCAAGCACCTGAGGGTTAGACACTGAGTAATGTTTCAACGTAACATACTATTCACTTGTATATACTCACTTCCTGATCGACTAAATCAGCTTTATTGACATAAACAATTATTTTCGTTATACCAACTTGTTTGGCTAGGAGAAGGTGTTCCCTGGTTTGTGGCATTTGACCATCGGTTGCAGCCACGACTAGAATGGCACCGTCCATTTGAGAAACGCCAGAAATCATGTTCTTTATGAAATCAGCATGACCAGGACAATCAGTGTGAGCATAACTCCGTTTGCCAGTGCTGTAGCCAACATGAGCAGCATTTATAGTAATCCCTGAAAAAAATTCAATGTCTAGAAGGAAGAGTATAAGCCGCGTAAGCTTATTCAGCTATTTTAATGTGCATTATAGTCAACCATGTAAACTGGGGTGGTCACAAAAACCTGAACAACCAGAATTTTGCTACTATTTAGAGTTTCATAACTTTTAATTTGGGAGACTGATTCCATCGGCTGGGACTTGCTCAAGGTCACGCTTACCCCAACTTGCAAACAGTCTGGCACGCCACATCTGATCGAAAAATTGTTCCACCTATTTCAAAATAACTGGATCACGTTATATGAGCATTACCGCTACATGGCAGTGGAGTCTAGTTTGGAAAAAACAGTGCCAAGTGAGATAATAAGGTGATAGACGTTTGAGCGTTAGTTTGAAAGTTTTTTTGACTCAATCTCAAGAAACTGCAATGGTTTATACAGGGAAGGTGTAAGAGAAATATTCATGCATATAACTATAAATGGAGCTATTTCAGAATTAGTCTAATCAATAACAAAAACAAACAAATATGATATTGTAAATTGTCACAGCAAATATAGAGGGGCCGGTAATACAGCTCCTGTCAAACCCATTACCCAGTGTAATCCAAAATAGCGCTCACCTGCAAAAATTTGGCTCAAAAATAAAATGTTTTAAACATTTAAATAAAATATCGTAAAACTCGATAGGTATATCAAAAAATTAATCTCACTTGGGTAATGGTGCTTTTTCAAGGTAGAATAAAAACCATCCACCTATTAATTGAAAAAAAGGGACCACGCCACTGCCAACGAATTCTATATAATAAAAAGAAATTCGTAATCGGACTCCTACTTTAAAAGTTATGAAACTTTGAATTGTAAAAAAAATGGTTGTGTTGTTTTTTGACCCTCACCGTTTTTTATACAAATCAATGAGTGTATTCACCACTGAATGCTCAATACACATCACTGAATAAACTTACTTGCCTTATTACATCGATACTACCTCGCGCTTTCTCTTCAGGAGCCTTGTCGATTTCATCATAAGAAGTATATTTTGCCAGTCCTTTCTTTTGTAAGACCTTTGTTATAGCGGCTGTTAGAGTGGTTTTGCCATGATCTACATGTCCTATTGTTCCAACATTTACGTGCTTTTTCACGTCTGTGCAATATTTTCTTCTGAATAGCTCCTGATTAGGCCTCCAATTGAGTTTATGATAAAATTTTTGGCTAATGCATGACAACTGCCTTAGACATTGTGTTTCGGAATTCAGTATAGTTGGGAGATTTCGATAAATATTGTGGGTGAATACAAAAACAAGGCTCATGTTTTAAAAGAGGAGAAAAAACTTTTTTAAATAAAATGCAACATAACCTATTCTTTTATGTCTTTGATATTTCATTCTGTTCTGTCTGCCATCTAACAAAATATGGTAGAAGCTGTTTGTAATAAGGATTTAGACAATGATACAGTGATGAAGGAGGTATATCTTATATGTGTTTATAATATTCAGATGGCGTTAATTATCCCATAACCAACTTCACGATGGCAAATTTTCCAATGGCTTGACCAAAAGGTGGATTCACTGGTGAAATCTTCACCTTTGTTACGAATATGGAGGACAGAGTGGCCAGGTTCATTACTTTTGAACTAAATCTACTACTATCGGGTAAACTTTATTTCAATTTTACATAGATTATAAAATGTTTTACTTTCAATGGAGAATGTTCCTCCTGACGAAAATCAAGTGGTTTTCATAAAAGAGCTCTAAAACAACGCATTTTAAACTTATCATTTCAACCTTTTTCTTGAACATTGAATTATATCCGAGAGACATTTGTACAAGTTTCCTTGCTGATTTTAATTTCTGTTGGATTCCATTAATATTTTCGATTGTTTTTGATTAATGACATTTCATAAGATAAATATTTGTAATAACTGAAAATTATTTATTACGTTTTATTACATATGATCAAAGAACTAGTGTGATCTCAATCTCAGTCAGCAGTTGCTTGCATCAAAACTCTTGCAATATTTTATCATAAAATATCTATCTCTACTTTCTGTAGTGAAATTAGGATTTTCATTTATTCTAATAATACGTCGCACTCAATGCTCTCTAACTTTTACCATTCATAAGAATGATATAACTGCAATTTGATAATAAACGCAAAATATACAGTATCAACGCGATTAGCAATAGGAACAAAGTTCCTATGACTCAAAAATATTACAGTTTTGATCATCGTCCTTGCTAATATTTTAAAAATATACCAGGTTCTTCACTGTCGATGACTTCATTACTGAAGAACTATTTTTCTTTTTTGGGCGGGTATTGGAACTACTAATACATTGTAAATTTGAAAAAATATTTATTTTACATCACTTGAATTAAAAAATTATTTATTACCTAAGACATAAATATGTAGAAGCACAAGGAATAAGTTAAACCAGAAAAGCCTACACAATATTACTTCACCTGTTTATCAAGAGTTTCATTGGGTAACAAATGGTATGACAGCCACCAAGATAAGACAGGTTGAACCGCAGCCAAAAACAAAAGAAAGTAAAGCCTACGTTTATGCCCAGCAGTGGTCTGCGGTCCCCCATAGTAACTGGTGTCTTGAACCGCCTCTGTTAAAACCTGAACCTTGAGACTCCTAACCAAAAAGAAAGATAAAGCTAAATTTGTGTATAGTAGAGAAGAATAATAGCCAGTTCTTCCTCCCAAAATGCTTATTGAGATACTGGTGATGATGCCCACAAACTTATATCCTGCATAAGCTAGAAGATCTAGAGTTCGTAGGCTTGTTTCTACATTGATGATGTACAAGGTACATTTATAGACAACGAGTTCTACGATGCACCAGGCTAAAGCCGAAGAAGACAACATTCCTATTTGCTCTGGAGTGAAGCGCTCTTGCATTCCCAAAACGATACCAGATACCAAAAGGTAAGTTATGTATGCCATGGTGGGAATGTAGAGGTCGGGGACATTTATTTCAAATCTTGGTTGCACAGGACCATCTTGTTCATACTTCACGGACCAATCCTAAAAAGAGCAAATATTTCATTATTGTACCTCCACAATATTAGGATAACGGCATAGATGAAATAATAATAATAATAATGTTTATTTTCCATAAGACATGAACATGTAAATAGTCGGACAACATGTATAATAGTACCACGTTTTATATTTATTACCATTTTTTGTCAGTAGTTTTTTCAAAATTGAGTAAAACCGATAGTGGTGAAATCACTGACATTTGATATTAACTTGGCAACACCGTGAAACTTATTCATATTGCATAACTTAATTTTATTCCTTCAGTATTCTTGTTGTTCTGTGAGTATGACATTGCCAATTTGTTTTTGAGGTCCATTAATAGTTAGAGTAGTTATGTCATATATTCGTTTCTGATCTTTTTGCTTCACAAAAATCATATACATAATAGAACATGGTTTGAAGGGGGGTACATCTCCATAGTAGAGACGTCATAGTAATTTTTGAAACTTAGATTTTCCTTTGAATGAACAAATCTTGGTGTTACTTCCTGATGACTGAACAATTTTATTATAGAACTAAGGAATGATATTGATGTTATCATTTTTTCTATCGGAAAGTGTAAAATCTATTCTCCAATATCTCTGAGGCAGATGTTTTTGATATGTTCTTGGATATTAAAAAATCATCAATATTTCCAGTTGCTTTGTGAACAATGTTTTGCTGTTTTTTGATAATATTGAGACTTATCAATTTGAAACAACCAAGAAAATAATTCTGTATTCATCAAATAAGCACTTTAAAACAAATACAGATATAAAGCATGTGCATGAAAAGTTAAAATCAAAATATACATACCTACGAACAGTTTAAAAAATATGCCTTATATTCTTGTTTGAAGTAAGAACACATCTCAGTTAGACAATTTTTTACTTTTATCAGAAATTGTATTAATTAATGTGTTTCTCAATAGCTCCAGAAGATGTTGAAATGTTAAGAAAACATTAAGAAACTTTCAAATAAGTAAAAACAATGACAGAGAAAGTAATTCAATTTACTTAATAAAGATGTTGAATGCATTGTAAATAATGAGAACTCACCTTGTGTGTGAAGGGAAAAAATAGTAACAACAACTTAGACAAAACATAATGAGTATCAACAGCAAAATAATATTTCAGTTTCGTAACAGGAAGATATCTCTCTACTTCATTTTTCAACATAGTTTTTCCAGCACCTGCAAGCTATAAAAAATATTCTTGTTATAACCTATGACTAATTGAGTATATAAATGGATATCAGATTACATTCATTTGGCCAGTGCCTAATAAGTATCTACAAATGAACAGATTAATTCAGCTCCTCAGAAAACTTAGGACACTAGTATAATTTCTCAAAAAATTGTGATATTACCTGCTGTCCATATTGAAGAGCCATGTCCTGAACAACAGGTTGATTAAGAACTGATAAATTTGTTGCTCCAATTGGATTAATAGAAAATGGGGTCTGACTGAAATTTGGAGGTTGGCCCTGAGGGATCTTCGGGGTACTTGAAAAAGAGTCAAACTGAACATTGGCAAAACCTGTAAAGATAAGTCCTTGATATATCTCAACACTCAAACATTCAAAAGTGATTAAGGAAAACACACCTTGTTGAAAAGGGGTATTCTGATTCAAATTTGGATATAAGTTCTGTTGTTGCTGCAAATTTGAGGGGTCCAGATTTGGATAGATGTTTTGCTGAGGCTGAGGCCCTTGTCCTTGATCATAGGGATTGAATCCCATGGAGTTTACATCTGTAACTCTTTTGAGTTTTCTTGTAAGGGCTAAAAAAGGAAGTGATTGGAGATTAGTAAGGTCGCTTATTAGGACTTCTATACTCACGTTGACGCCCCCCACTGTTAGCGTTATAATTCATTATGCCAGCCTACTTTAAAAATTCATAAGAAAAGTTTATATCTCAACATCTTTTCAACACAAAAAATAACCCATAAAAGTTATCAGACACGTCACTATGACATATGACAATCAAGGTTGCCATCATTATAGGGTTCTTTTTCTTGGAAGACTGGAAATAGATAATGTAAAGTAAGATTGGTATATACAGCTGGTTAACTCATTTCTTGATGATTCCACCTTAGTTGGCGAAACGTGCATTGGGAAAATTATGTAGGTATTTTTCAAGTATTTTTTAGACTTATTTTCTTCAGATATAGGTTGGGTAAAACTATGAAATCATTTGAAAATTTTCAATAAATGATTTGTGTTCTCTGATTCAGTAGCACATTTTTTTATTTGGGGTTCTCTCATGAATTTAAGAGAATCGTATTTCATATGCTTATTTGCTCAAAAATCTGATTGTGTCTGGACGCAAGTATCTAAAGAAGTTACGGAGTTACTGATAGACTGTCCTTGCGGTTACGTCAAATTACCGAATTACCGGTTACGGTGAATTGTCAGTTATTAGGTATATTCTGGCATAGTATTATCTTTATACTATGATTCTGGTTCAAATTTTTGCATCCAGGACTGTCGGACTAGGTAATTCTAATCTATAAGTTTATTTATGTTTATTAGAAAAGTAAAAATGAAAGAAATTGTTGATAGTTGACATGAAAATTATAACTTAATTTTTTTAGAGAATGGTTTATTGCCATTTTTGGAACCCCTTTTTTATTAAGATTTCGTATAAATATTTGAGGTCCAGTCTATTATAGATTATCTTTGAAATAGCTAGTAAGCCTAATTTTTTCCATTTACTAACCCAATTGGCCTTCTCTGTGTTGACTTATGTTTATGCAAAGTGCAGATCATAGAAATTTGAATATCAATGTTTTGTGATGCAATGCAATGTCACAGAATCTATTTTCATTTTGTGGCGGCTCCACAGTAGTGCAGTTTAGTTTGTATTTATATATTGGGTGGTTGAGTGGGAATAAGTTAAATTAATTAATTCATTATAATTTCTTATATACTTATATACATATACCATAAAACACCCCCGATATTCTATTTTTAAATCAACTCAATATGGTTGGGAATGTTCATCAGATTTTGGATTCAATATCATCCCTTTTGCAGGTGAAATTTCCAAAAGATACTTCAAAAGATCAGGTTAATTATTACTTCTTTCCATATTCCATTGAAAAAAATTCATTATTCTTCCACAGTCTAAACATGAAGTTATTAGCACAATTTTTGAACTTATGAAATCAACGGAGAATTTGGAATATATTCCAAAAAATAGAACAGAGACTGCAGAGATTCAGCAGTGGATTGAATATGGAATTGTATATGGGGCACACTTGGAAACTCAACAAAATATTAGTTTTATTCTGACCGTAAGTAAACTGTCCTAAATTTCTGAGAACTTTCTTGACCCACCTTTAACACAAAGGTGTTATCAGAAACTTTAAAGAGTACTTTAGTTGTAGTTTATATAAAATTCCTTCCAGAAACTTCACCTCTCCACATTCTTCTTTTCATATTGGAAAATTAGAAATTTATCATTACTCATATTATTCAGAATGTCCAAAATATATATTTTCTAAAAATCAAGCGAGAGTACCCCGTATCCTGAGGAAACATTTTAATTTCCTGCAGGTACTCATCGGTCTCTAAAACATAGATTCAAGAAGCGTATGGTCCTTTTTTCATCAGATGAATTTCATCAATTAATCGTAAAAGCTGTGGCTGATTAGTTAAAGCTGAATCAGATGAAGATTATTTTTGGTGAAAAAAGGAACAGTGACGATTTGATAAGTGACAAGATTCTATTGTTGTTAAAATAAAATATTTTCTTATATTCATTTTTTTTTTATTGACTCGGCCGTTACTTGATGAAGATCCATAGTAATTTCATAAACTACATTGTAATGATTTGATCTTCACAAACTTTATTTTAAAAATTCCATGACATGTTTTGCTATCACAGTAGCTTTTTTGTAGTGAATAACATACTAAAAACTAATTCATTTTCTAACTTAAACCATGGAGAACTGCCTATTCAGGTACATACACAATCATAATTACCTGGAGACGATTATATCAATTCTACCATAATAATAATATGTCTATGATGACTAGGACAACATACGTTGCTAAGAAAACAAGTTCAGTAACTGTGAATTGATAAACTTGAAAATTCAAACATTTTACTGAATGTCCAACTGGTTTTAAATAGATCACCATTATTGGTAATTATGATCGTGTATGTACCTGAGTAGTTAGTTCTCATCGGTGATTACGTAGGGTATATAAAAGTTATAGAATGAATTCGTTTTTAGTATGTTATTCACTACGAAAAAGTTACCGTGATAGCTAAACATGTGAAATTTTGAAAATGAAATCGTTAGGGTGTAGTTTGTGAAATTGTATTCATTCATCGTCGATCATGTATATATTTTGAACCATATATCACACATTACAAAAAAAGTAACAAAATCTGCCGAAATACTTTTTGAAGTTCCAAATTCAATCTTTGTTTTCATTTATATAACCTTAATTTGTACCTGCTACAAGTAGGCAGATGACAGCTAACAGGAACAGTCCAATTACATCGATAAGTTAACCTGTGAACATATCCTTGCAATTGTTGATAATTTCATCCTGAACAATGTATTTTTATAGGGAGTTTTGAATGTACATCCATCAATTAATTAAAATTCAATGATGCGAGGATAGGTTTAGAAATTCATCTTTAATAAAGAAATCAATGCTCTCTGTTTATAGAAAAGTTTTGTAAATCAGTAAATAAAGGTAATTACTAGGAAATAACTGGATTCCAAGATAAACTCTTCACCTTCGCCCAACTGTAGAAATGAACAATGCAGAAAATTTAATGTAATCTGTCACAAAGTATATTCAATTAGTTTTATTATCATAATCACTTTGTTTCCAGGAACTGAATAATATTCTTGCTACAAAGACATACCTTGCAGCACCAAGAATAACTGTAGCTGATGCATTTATATATCATGTTCTCCTGAAGACTATGGTAACTGTTTTTCATTTATGTATTCTTTTACCTTCTACAAAAAATGATTGAACTTTTTAGGGATCTCTTTCAAATCTTGAAAAGGAAAAATTCCTGAATGTTTGCAGATGGTTTGATACAGTACAAGATAGATTTTCAAGAAAAAAATCTGAATTGGTAGATTTTAGCTCAATTTATTTAGCTACCTTAGTACCAGCAAGGCATTAGGATCTTTCTATTGTATAAAAAAGACTAATAAAAATTTAAGATTGCTGTAAAATAATTTCATTTATATTTTTGCTACAATTAACTTTTCCAATTCAAAAGAAATTAATATTCTGAACCATAGTGAAGCGCACTTCTCTTCATTGTCTTTACGTGGGCAATTGTCAAAATAGTTGAAAAGTGTATAAGGCAAACTTTGAAAAATGTTATTTAAAGAGTTATCCAATCGAAGAGTTCTGGGAATAAAGCCGTTATATGAATAATTAAATCTGTGAAAAGAAACGTAAAACATTTGCACCTGTCTAGTTGAACGACTGGGGACATGTAAAGATATTTTGGAGAAAAGCTCGGGACTGATACCCAGTCTGTTGATAATTTTGAATAGAAGTATTAAATCTCTTTGTTTTCTGCGAGCCTCAAGAAAAGGTATGTTCAAAATGCATTCCAATACAGTATAGTCATAGTATACTCCTTAATGTTAGGACATGTTCCAAGATATTGTCAAGGAATTTATTTTTATTCTAACATTGCTTTGGAGTAGTAAACATGTTAGGAAAACTATATATTTTCTTAAAACACTGTTCAATGGTACTCGTGCTGATAAAATGGTATAGAATTTAGAAAATGGACAAGACGAAAAAATGACAATTCCAGGATTCACTCCCGATTTGTTTATTTTGATTATAACTTCATATTCTTAAAATATTCCAGATATCAAAAAATATACACGATAAACATGGCACATACAAATATTTTGACAGTCATCCGGCCTGGTAGGTATCAAACACATTCCACATATAATTTTGCATTGTTCTGCCAGAAGAACCCACTGAAAATTGTCTTTCACTTAAAAATGCATTTCAGGCTCTGCAATTATCCATAGTTTTATGTTGCAGTGGAAGCTGCAGATAGAAATAAAAACCTTTTTTTATTAAGCAGTTTAGACTTTGTTTTGAAACTGACAACCCTTGATATCTTTCGATGAGCTGCCAACTATAAGAAATCAGCCTCATTTTATTCACTACCCTGTATATTCTGTATTCAAGTTATCTCTTTGACATTTTTTAAATATTTTTCCCCTGTATATTAATTGTAAATGGTAGTTTTGCATTTACTGGCATTATTTTTCAAATCATATCGAAGCATATTGAAAATGTTTTTTTTTGTATGTATTAATATAAAGTTAACAAATAAGTTTAATAATTTATATGTACCAACAAAGGAAAGAATGAGCCAAATGATTTTTTGAATGAAAGGTTTTTAATAAATCAAATTATTTCAAAGAAAGATCTACATTTCATGTAATGCAATGTTCAGATTAGAATTTAAACTAGAAATTTTTGTTGTCGGTTTCTCTCTGAAGAATAAAATGAAACACCCACTACATGTTAAATAATGTTCTTTATTTGTCATTCATATATGATAAAATTATCCAAATAAAACAATCCTAGTACTTAGTGTGTAAAGTTTGCATCAATATAAGGCATATTTTGATTCAGGCACCGTTTTAAGTCTTGTTACTAAGTAATATAACCCTACAAAAATAATCAGGATAGGCACTTAGTTATGATTTAAATACAATGTTTTTTAAAAATTTACAACTTAAAATGAAAGAAACCATAAAGATTATTTTCTAAAAAGCTTATACAATATTATTGGCACATAAGATCTAATATATTTGGTTATAAACTGTAGAAGGTTGAAAGCGGAAACATATATAGCACCAATTGCAAGTAAGGACACTTACAGAAAAAACAATATACAATAGAAGTTTAACATTCGGAAAACTATATTCGAGCATTGAAAAAAAAAGTTTTTTCTTTCCGCTAGGTTCGCCTCTCTTAAGCTTAATATCCTCCGAGGCTTCCTCTCTAAAATTATGCACTCCTCCAACTCACTCAAACCTAAAACTTCTTGTCGAAGACTCCTGTTTACTACTTTTGGTCATCGACACGGTTTTCTTCTCTATGATCTGCTGTGACACCGACTTTTTGAGCATTTTCTGCTCCAAAGTGTCTTCGCTTTTCAGTTGCGGTGCCTCGTTGATGTACTCCACGTTACTGGAAAACGATGACTGATACTGGGCGTTGCTCCCGTTCCTGAAAGTCTCGAAAGACTTCTTTTCCAAAGGGGACGTCACTGCAGGTTTGCTGGTGTAGTATTTCTCTATACTGGAGGAATAAGTAGGCTGTGGCGTCGAGTGATAGCTCTCATACTTGAACGTATTCGACTTATACCCATCCGGAGTCTTATATGTATTTGTGGCATATTCCGAACTGGAATACCCATCCGAGTAGTGCTTCGGAGACTGGAACGGAGAATCTGTTTTCAAAGGCTCGTACCCCCTCATGTGACTGGGGGAGCTTGTATAATTGTCTTTGGGGGAAAACCTCGGGGCATTTTGGGTGAACGCTGATCCGTAATCCTGTCCATAAGAGTTGGTACCGCCGTACGTTGCTGAATCTAGGCTATTGATATGGGCTTTGAGGACGTTTTTGTTGCGCTCTAGTGAATTCACTTTCTCGGGACTCTCTAATTGGGAGTACGTGTCTGCGTAGAACTTCTGTTGGGGACTGGGATGGGAGTGCGACGAGTCGTAGCCTTGGACATACCTAAAACGTTTCATGATGTTTATGAGTGTTTGATATTTGGGGATATACAGAAATGATGAATGGACTTGATTCGACAGTTTAAACATGCTGTATTTGTATAACATTTATAAATGTTTCAAAAAGAATTTTACGCCGTTTTCACAATTTCCAATTATAGCTAACAATTTGATGAATGGAACAGAGTAAAGAATGACATACCTTGAACATTTTTGGAAAAAAATATTTCATATCCACTTCAACCAATATCTATATATAGTATATTGCATAGTTAGGCACTGTAATATTTACTATTACACTAGCCAACAAATAAGAAAAAAAATACCACTAATATTATAATGGTTATACATGAGAGTTTAAAGCATCCTGACTGCGTCTTCCAACATCAAAAATTTTCCATCACGTAAAGATTTCGAGTTATAGTTATTTTTATTTTATACAAAAATTTTCACATATAGGGAAATATAAAATCAAAATAAGAAAAAAACAATATATTTTGAAGATAACAGACTTTATTTACAATACACATGAAAAAACGTTCAAAGGAAGTCTTTTGTGCATAAACTTTTTGCAAATGTTGACTTTCATTTATATGTTTCATCGTTTTGTCAGTATGTCTTGGTGGAACCTTTTCCCTTGTTCGTCACTGACAGCACCCAAATTTTCTGGGAAAAAATTCAAATGGGAGTGCAAGAAATGTATTAAGTGTTCCCTTAAAACTCCGAAACAATTCTTTTGAAAGAAGTCCACGCAGCTAATTCAACATTACTTAATATTTTGATCACTTAGTAGTTTTCTAATTTGTGGTCCAACAAATATACNAAACTTTAATGGTTACTAATATGATAGCTGAGTTTCTAGAAACTTTCATTCAAACTTAAAATAGTATGTTTCGGAATGTTTTCATACTCCAAAAAAAATAATACTTAGGTATCTACTTTATTCAATGTATTTTGTGTATTTATCAGATATTTAATGAGTAATTTTGATCAATCTCTCTCAAACAGAACATTTAAATTCATTCACAGTAATAATAAGTTTTTTCCTTGATTAGTTTAAGTTACTAAAAATTGTATTTCCCTAACACAAACTGTTATACTTTTTCGAGAAAATGAAGATTATTATCATTATTTCAACAAATTATATTCTAAGTCATATTTCCCTCTTCAATTCTGCTCTATTGGTATATAGATTCTAAACGAACAAGGGCTTCACTGCAAGCCGTCTCTTCAAAGAGAATATCCATTCATCATTTCTGACAACAAAAAATGTACGCAAATATTCCATGTGCTGAATAGCTACATTTCGTTAATCTAAAGTGACCTACACTGAAACAGTTGCAAGACACATGACACATGAAACAGTTGCAAGTGAAATTAAAATTTGATTACGGACTTACCCAAAGAATTTCTATCTACCTTCACTCTGTACATGCAACAAACAGAAGCAAAACAGTTAGTAGTGAAAGAATCAGTATTAAAGAACATATGAGACAAGTCTATTGGTGCTGTTTAATGGAAAATGAAAATTGTGATCATCACTGACAGATAAGAAGGCATGAAATATAAATCCCTAATAGAAAATATAAACGAAAGGAATTTATCAAATAAATGTCTCGAAATCTATTCTAAATTGATCCAAATAAAGACTTTTCAATGATAAGATGAAAATATATATTTTCATTTGTAGAAAAGAGAGAAATGAATTAGATATTTTAAAACTCGTTCAATGAAAAATTGATACATTAATCTTAAATGATTCAGAGGAATTGAAATCTTTTCATGTAGGGTAGATGGCGGTTCTGCAACTGCTGCTCAATCTTTATGTTTCAGATTCAATTATATTTCACGCCTCGATACCCATCAAAGTTACAACAACCATTAAAAAACTCATTCCCTAATAAGTTGAGTTACAGTTAGTTCGCAATTTTCATAACAGTGTGCTATTGAAAACAATACTCACCTCATTGAATCTTGATCTGGAATAGAGCTAACATAACCATCGGTATCATCTCCAGAAGTTTCATTGCCTTTTTGCCTGTATTTGGCTTGACGGATAACACTCAGCTTGTTACGAGCTTCTTCTGTGTCTCCCTCTGCCTTGACCTTGCAAGCCACCAAAAGCTGCGCAGTCGAGCTGGCGACCTGTTTCGCGGAAGCGATGAGTTTTTCTTCACTGGCAAATCCTAGCAAATCAAAAATCATCATCATTGTTGATTCCAAAAATATGAATATTCAAAACAAGGATCTCACTAAATATATAAAACTAACTATTAACAGGGAACGAGTTATATTTGAATACAAAGTTGGTATATTTGTAAATATAATATTTCAATAAAGAATTATTCCTGACAAATACAACTTGATTTGAAGAAAGATAGTAATTTCTCAATCAAATGTTTTTTTATTTTTTTAACATATTTAGCATATTTAGTTTATTGGTAAGAGGCATAGAAGTGTTTTGCGATTTTGGCGATTTTCTGCTATCGAAAAAAAATGGATTGAAGAATTTGCATCAAATTTTGTGTAAAAAATGGAAAAAATTGAGTTTTTGTTGTTCCACAATATTGTAATGTCATCAGCGAAGACTGAAATTTCCAGAAATGCTGAAATTTGCAATGTCATTTACATATAATAAGAATAAGATGGGTCACAAAACTGATCCTTGTGGAACACCACACAAAATTTCCTTTTTTTTCTGAAACTCCTGTTGTTTTCACCATTTGATTCCTTCCTGAAAGGTAAAATTCAAACCATTTGGGCGTCATTTCTCTGCAGCCGTATTGGTGAATTTTTCTTAGCAAGATCGTATGATCAACGCAATCAAACGCCTTAGAAAGATCACAAAAGACCGCGGCTGCTACTTTACCAGAATTAAACTTTGAATAAATATCATAAAGAAATGAAAAGATGGCATTGTGGTTATTTTTATTGCTTTGAAAACCAAACTGGCTTTCACGTAAGCTTACAAGTTTACAAGTGGTACAAGCTACTCACAGAAGATCGAGAAGATGTGAATAACGACGCTCGCCCTGGACGTTCCAGCACACCAACAACTGATGAAAATGTTGAGAAAGTGAAAAAAATGGTTATGAAGGATCGTCAAATCACTATTAGAGAAGTTGCTGAGGATGTCGCCATATTGGTTGGCTTATGCCATGCAACCGTCACATGAGCATCCCCCAGGAATTATTAAATGACGTCAACGGCGATCCAGATTAGCTCATAAGGGTCATAACTGGTGACGAATCATGGGTATGTGGTTATGACATCGAAACCAAAGTCCAATTGTCCCAATGGAAGAGATCAGGAGAGCCAAGACCAAGAAAAGCACGCCAAGTTCGATTACCATGGCGTAGTGCATCAGGAGTTTTAGCCACATGGTCGTACGGTTAAAAAGAAGTATAATTTTGAAGTTATGAGCCGCTTGCGATAAGCAATACGAAGGAAACGTCCGGTATTGTGGAAAAACAATTCATTGTCCTTGCATCTGCCCCTTCTCACTCGTCATTGCTTTTTTGTAATTTTTTGACCAAAAACAACACCGTAATCATGCATCAGCCACCGTATTTACCAGATTTAGCCCCTGCGACTTTTTCCTGTTCCCAAGATTGAAGACACCCATAAAAGGACGGCGTTTTGCGACGATTGATGAGATAAAACCCAAATGGCTGAAAGAACTCAAGGACATACCAAAAAGTGCATATCATAACTGCTTCGAGGATTGGAAAAAACGCTGGCACAAGTGTATCATATCTGAGGAGGACTACTTTGAAGGGGACAAAATAGAAATTGATGTACCAATAAATATATTTTGAGAAAAATTAAAATTCAACTTATTTTTTGAACAGACAGCATTAAAATTGATTTTTTCCCTAAATTGTATCAAATTTTTGCTGGTGATTTGATATTCATGGATGGTTTCAACAACATGGTTTTAGTTAGTATACACACGCCTGAAAAACCTATCGTATAGCGAAATACATGTTGCGTTTTAGTAAAACTGTTTAGTGAAAATCTCACAATAAAGTGTTTTTTGAATATATTGTATTTTCTTATAGATTTGGGATAGGTACTCAGAAATATATATTCGAAGTCTTCTCGACTACCTTATTGTATAAAAAATAAGTATGTATGAATATTAGTGGAGTTTTTTCCCAACACGAAACCATTATTTTAATAGCTTGGCACGTGTTTCGATCACCTAGTAATCATCTTCAATAGGAAGAATAAACTTTAATCTTCCTCAAGAGGATGATTAAATTTCAATCTTTCTCTTTTTGATGCCTCGACACCTGTTTCAATCACCAAGTGATCATCTTTAAAAGGAAGATTCGAAACCATTATTTTAATAGCTTGGCACGTGTTTCGATCACCTAGTAATCATCTTCAATAGGAAGAATAAACTTTAATCTTCCTCAAGAGGATTGAAGTTTAATCTTCCTCTTGAAGATGATAACAGTAATATTCATTACTACACCAAAGATTCTAAACATAGTGTCCCACGTTGAGTATGTTTCTCTTAGTGAATAGTTGGTACTTACCTTGTACTAGGGCATTAGCACTCTCAACCAAGGTATGTGTTGCGGAGGCAACCAATCGCGCAGCTGAGATGAGTCCTTCAGACCACTGACCGTCATCGGAAGAAGATACGGGGGTACCGGAAACCTTGCCGGCATCGATTAGTTCTCTTTGGGCAGCACTGGCCGCTTTAACTAAAGCCGAAGTGGCTGCAGCTATGGATTTGGCCGCGTCTATGATCATTTCATCAAAGTTCAGTGTCTCGTCTACATCATGGGTCTGAAAAATGTAAATTTTCTCATTTATTCATTTACTTTTTCACGACTTCTAAACACATTTTACTCATCACTCATTACATTTACTGTCAACTTTCTGTCAACAATACCGTCTTCATTCGTCAAAAGCGAGCCATCTGATATCTGTGAAAAGTTGGGCCTAGAGAGTCTTGTGAACCCTTGTTCAAGGAGCAAAAATTACTAACACTTTCTTCTTTATTCATATTCGAAACTGTGTGCCTAGTACATGAGAACAAATTATCTTACGATGTTGTTATCAGTTTCACTCGCCAAAGAGACAAATTAAGACTGCCTATTCCATCATCAAATTTGATTAAAAACTCATTGATCTATAATGCAGCTAAAAAACCGACCAGTTTTAAAGATATCCAATCACCTTATCAGTTCAGGAAGTCTGTAAAGCAAGTTCTCATTGACCAGGTGTTTTATAGTGTTCAAAAGTACTTTGATAAATATATGGATGGAATTCTGAAATAAAATTATTCCCTGTTCAATCACTGCTTATGTTGATTTTTAATAGCTCCTGCAATTTTGAAAACAGTGTCTGTTTATCTTATTTATTTATATATTTTATCTATTTACTTCCTTATTTACCTTATAATGTCTGACTATTCGTTCATTTAGGATGTATATAAATATGTATGTGTGTGGTATTTATGTGCGTTTATAAATGCATATTCATTTATTTATTTATAATTGTTTTAGCTGTGCACTAAAAATCGTAACCATATTTCAGTATGACACATACATTAAACCAATGTATATGTATAATGTATAGTTATTACAGTGAAACTCATTTATACATGATTAGCTTTGTCAACGAGTTTATACTTTGGACAATAAAGCATATTTGATTTGAACTATGAACTGCCTTATAAAGTACTGTTTCCGAGTAGAGGGGAATGGATCCTCCAGGAGAAGGAAATATTAAGAGCAGATAATTGTTGGTTCACAGTTGGATCAAAAACACTTTTCGGTTCTGGAATGCCCACTTATTATTAGTCAACATGGCACTGCTCTTTTCCAAAGAAGTTTTGAGTTTCAAGGCTGCAAACTTTTTAATAAACTCCCCGACAATGTCAGAAATTCTGAAAATGTACACATTTTTAAACAAGACTGAAGCAACTTCTTCTGTCAAAGAACTGCTACAGTATTGATGACTTTTATTTGTAATCCAGTACTATATGTGTGTATAGGAAACAATTATNTTCTTCCATCTCCAGTGGGATATCGGTCGTTAAACCTGTCGGTAGCCACACCGCTGTAATAATATGTTTGACTCCTGGGTGCTTCTAAACAACAACCAAGAATATCAAACATATCTCACAGCAATATGTATTTATCGTGCATCGAATCCATCTTCACGAAGTCCTTCAATTTACCTTGAAAGTTCATAATCGAAAATCGTACTGACCTTTACGGTTTGCCTCGGCTGCAGACTGGCCAGCTTCTTGGCAGCGGCATCAATAGAGGCGGCTGCTCCTAGAAGTTCATTCTCCGCAATCACAGTCGGATCTTCTGGATCCACAAAATCGGAACCTGATGGAGAAGTATAATAATTAATGTAGATGAAAAATGTTGAATTTCAAAACAATCTTCAATGAACCGACAGCATTATGTCAGTTTTATTTTATTGATGAGACACCAATTTTCACAATTTTTAATTTGAATCTTTGTAGAACAATAATTGAACTGAAACTAAAAAATATTTAAACATTTAAGAAAATTCATATTGGAGCTATTGCTGGATGCTACATAATATATACACATTTTCAATAAATGCATAGAAAGATTTCAAAAATTTTCATTTCTTTTCCATTTCCAACATTTTATGCTTATGCCAGTGTCTGTATTACTAAAAGTGTGAAATTGAGGAATGCGAAAATCACTGATAAGCTAATATTGTTTCATCCTGTATTTTATTTATGACACATGGTCCTTCGAGCCAGATGCGTATGAAATTACAGAACAAATTTCCCATTTTCACTTTTCTAACAATTATTTCATTTACCTTTCAATTTCTTGGCTAGGGTGAGCAGATCTGTAACGCTCTGAGCTATCTTCCTCGATGCCGCAGGCAGCATCTGTTTAACGTCCGCAGATCCATTCCCTTGTAAGATGAGCAACAGCAGTTCTCTGAATTGCTTGGCGCATTCATGACCAGTATTCAATGTTTCTCGTCTCAATTCTTCAGTCTCTGCCAAGCTGTAAGCAGCTCCCTTGCAAATTATCAGCATGCTGGAGATGGATTTTCGCGACAAGTTGGCCGCGGCGATGATGTCATCCTGCTTGTTGCTGATACCGGCCGAAACGCATTTGGCAGTGGCAGTGGTGATGGATTTAGTGCAACGGATCATCTCTTCAGCTGTCACGCCTTGCTTATAGCCATCAGCAGAGTAGATAGCCTGAGAAGAAAAGGATTAGGTTAGTTTGTAGAAGTGAATTAATGAATCCCAAACATTTTACCTACATGATTTGGAAATACGAGGTCAGCGAATGCATGTTTTTCATCTTTAGCTAGCAGCATTTCAAGTTTTCACCATTATGCAATATAATTATAATAATTATGAATGAAATTATTTCCGGTGAATTTTAAACAGCTGTATTTTTTATCTATAATAATACAGTGAATGAAGGAACAAATTGTCAATTGATGGAGTGATTTCAAATTCAATAAATTATCAAATCGATATCAGAGAGGTCGCTGATGATGTTGGCACATCGATTGGCTTAAGCAATGAAATTTTTTCAAATGGGTTTACATATATAAAGTCGAAACTAAGGGTCAATCGTCGAGGCATTCCGGCACCTGCACCTGCTCACACTTCATTGCCTCTTTGTGAATTTTTTAACAGAAACACTGTAACGATACCCCAGCCTCCACATTCACTGGACATGGCTCCGTGTGACTTTTTTCTATTTCCAAATATAAAGAAAGGGCTGTAGTTTTGCAAGTATGAAATACATTAAAAGTACAACCCTGAAAGAGCTGAAGGCTATCCCAAAAAACGAGTTTGAGAAGGACTGGCACGATGGCTTAATATTTATTAAGGACTATACTGAAGGCGACAAAATGATGTACAGTTGAGATCAAACATTAAGTGAGAATTTGTGAAATAGTTTTATTTGGACAGTGAAATGAAATTATTATAATTTGCTGCACTATCATTTACCCAATTCACAAATCGTTTGTTGAGGGTTGTCATATATTCCAGATAACTATAGACCCATATCTATCATTCCTATCTTTGGTAAAACTTTTGAGATGCTAATTCGCTTAATTTCCTTTTTAAATGCTCATTCAGTATTTGATAAAAATCAATTTGAATTTAGCTCTAACAAATCGACAACCCAAGCTGTGATGGCTAAAGTTGATACAATAATAGAGAATATCGAAAAGGGGCTAGTATCTGCTCTAACTCTATGTGATCTAAGTAAGGCTTTTGACAGTGTAAATCGTGAGCTCCTACTTGGTAATTTGGAATATTACGGGATACGTGGCAGAGCTTTAGAGCTAATGAAAACCTACTTATGTGGGAGACAACAAGTTGTTTATACATCTGGAAATTCTAGCACATGTAGATCCATTTTGCACAGTGTACCACAAGGGTCTATAGTGGGACCAACTCTTTTTGTGGTATATATTAATGATATTTTTGATTTCTTACTACCAAGCTTATCGTTTTGCTATGCAGATGATATATCAACGGTAGATGCAGACTCAAATATTAACGACTTCTGATGTCACACAATAACATTGATCAATTAACAAATTTAAGTAACAAGGCATCTAATGAAATAGAAAGGTATAGCTTTGAGAATGGCCTCAGCCTGAATAAAAAAAAAATGACAACTAACGAAGAAGCAACCATGTAGATTTATTGGGGTTTAAAATTGATGACATGTTAATTTGGGAAGCACATGTTGCTGGTCTGCGCAAAAACTTTCTACACAACTGTTCCTACTAAGACAGCTGAAAATGTGTCTTAGTCAAAGTATGGTATTACAAACATACATTTGTCTTTTTAACAGCCACCTAACATTATATATGAAAGTGGTAAAAAACATAGAAAGTTTCATTTCTCTTTTCATTAATACTAAGTACCTTACAAATGCTGACTTTCATAATTACCCTACTCAAAGGGGTGCACACCTGAGTCCTCAATTTTATAGACTGGATCTATCAGCTCGAAATTCACTCAACTTACATTTATACAATAAAATACCAACAGACATTACCGGTCTGAGTTATAACCGTTTCAAGGCTAGAGTTAAGCACTCACTATTAAGGCACTGTTTCTATTCCATCGACAAATATTTGAATTGTGAGACATTCATATTTCAATATGTTACATCTCTAAATGACGATCACCAATGTGACCTTGGTTGACGAAATGTGCATTAGGAATAGTTTCTTTTTCAATTGAGGAGTGAGGAAAAAGTTGATTCATCATTTAGTTTATGAGACAATTTAAGCAAATGTGAACTCACTCTCATTTCCTGTCCAATAGCTTCTACGGTGGATTCTAAAGCCCTGGTGCCCCTTGTATGTTCGTCTTCTACAGCCTTCACCGTTTTCAGTAGAGACGTTACATTTGTGACCATAACCTGAAAAAAAATTGGCATTTGTAAGTGTTTGATATCGGGAAAGTCACGTACATGCTTTTAGATAAACTCGCAGCTGAAAAATGTTATGTTGTTCATAGAATAGGAGAGGGGAAGTTTTGGCGAACTCGAAGCAGAATTTTATGCGAAAAGTGGAACACAACAACTAGAATACATACCAAATGATTATGTATCAGAGGAAAAATTTTGATATCCTAAGAATGAAACAGCCCTTGACTCACACGTGTTTTATTTATGAATATTCAGGAAAATAGTTATTTAGTTTCCAACAGAACAAACAGTGAAGTATAAAATATAGCTTTGAAACATTCAAACAAAAAACTCTTAACTTTGCAGTGACTCTACAATCCTAGGATTCTCTAAAAGGACTTAGAATTGCACAAAGCATCACACGAAGACTAGATAATTTTATAATCATGGGAAGAGCCATAAATATCAGCTACTAAGAAGCAGTTACTAAACACTGAACGATATCCGATTGCAAATCAGAGTTAACATTCTCCTTGCTGTCACTCAAAAGTCTCAACAATTCCTCCTCTTGATCGGAAATCCACCATTCCGTTTCTGAATCTGTCACCTAGGGGCCAATCAAAACATGTTCTCGTTAAAAATTTCCACCAGTAAGTTTTGGACAGAGCTTTTCAGACTATCATTGAGTAGCATGGATTCACACAGATTTTTATGAAGTTTTACAGAGAACTAGTTATGCTTTCATGAATTCTCTATTCAACGTAGAATTCTACAGTTCATCTGAAAAGCTCTCGTTTTTTCATTATAAAATTCAAGTATGGTGGACTTTAAACAATTTCAAGAATAACATGTTTTGAAGAGCCTCATATTAGATGTGAAAATGGATTTTGTTAAACCACAGCATGCACGCCATATTAATATTTGTTTATTATTTAAAGTCCACTTATTGAAACAAATTTCCAACAAAATTAGTATAACGCACATGCATGTTTGACATATCTTCAAAACCATTACTGAAAGCATCTGATCTCCTCACAATGACAGCAAAAACTCTTGTCAGTTTCACATTTCATACTCAGTCACGAAAACCACCTTGATATGTTTCAGGCTCAAGCGGTTAAACATTTCACCCCTGCAAAACGTGAATTCAATACTTACCCCAGATTTTTCCAAACTCCCTTTTAAAATTAGTTATACTCTAAAAACATTCACAAACTTTGTAAACTGACCTCACTTGGTTCTCACCAGCTTTCTCAGGCTCAAAATCAATCAAAACTCAATGTTCAACAGCCATTTATTAAGAAAATAATAATATTAGTGGAATAACAGCAAAATGAAAAGAAGCCTATCTTATGTTAAGTCTTTTGTAATAGCGTACCTTAGCACTGTCCTTCAGATGGGCCATTGCAGGATCGTTTATGGGTTTTCCACTAGCGGCCTTGGTAGCTTGGATGAGGTCGCCAAGGGCACTTGCTACGTCTCGCACAGCATTTATCAACATAACCTGCGAATCTGGATTGTCGGCGCCCAAACTTGCTGCTCCGAATTTCACCACTTCGGCAAGATCCACTAAAACAAAAGAAAACAGTGTATATTGTGCGAAAGAACATACGAATCACATTAACAAATGGTACAACACGTGGCATGTCGGAAATTTGTTGGATTTTGAGGCCAATTAATGATGTATTACTTCATTTGACAGTTTTTCTTTATTCCTTTTATATTACACAAATATTCATTTTCACAACTGATAAACTTGTAAAACAACGAATAGACTGTTGTTTTTACAAGTTGTTCGGAGCAGTGACACATCTTTTAGTTCTCATTACTCTCAACTTATTTCAGATTCACAAATTGATGAGACACAAATAAAGGTTCATTAACCATACTGTGAGTATAGTTTACGACAAGCCAATCCAAACAGCTAAATAAAAAACTAATGTACCGGGTCTGATGAATTTAGAGGGGTTGCTTTGTATATTTCGGGATTGGAGAACAAAAACAAATATTAATCATCGAAAATAACTTTATTGTTTTTCAAAATATTTCCCATGAAGATCTATACACTTTTACATGCGTTTGAACCAATTTTCGAAGCACTTTTGCAACTCTGATTGAAGTATCTCCAAAACATACATTCTGAATGCAGCAACCGCTTCTTCACGTGTCGAAAAACGTTGACCTCTCAGTTTGTTTTTCACGTGCGGGAATAAAAAGAAGTCATTCGGTGCCAAGTCAGGACTATACGGCGGATGACTCATCAAATCGATGTTTTGGGTGCTCAAAAATGCAGTTGTTTGAGCCGATGTGTGAGAGCTCGCATTGTCTTGGTGAAGAGTGATCCGCTTTCGGCGGTTGGTTTTTATGATTTCTTGGAAGACAACTGGCAAACAAATGGTTGTGTATCACTCAGAATTGACTGTTCTGCGTTGTTCTAGTGGTACGGTTGCGACATGTACAGTTTTTCCGAAAAAACAGGCGACCATTTGCTTGGAAGTGCTTCGTGCGCGAACAATTTTTGTTGGATTTGGCTCGTCTTGAAATACCAATACAGTCGACTGCTGTTTACTTTCGGACTCATACGTGTAAATCCACGATTCATCACCTGTCACGATGTCATAGACGTGTTTCAAAGCACCGCGATCGTATTTTTTGATCATTTCCTTCGACCAATCAACACGTCCCTTTTTTTGAACAATTGACAAATTGTGTGGGATCCAACGCGAACAAATTTTTTGACAGTCAAATGTTTATGTAATATTGAATGAATACTGGTCCCACTAATGCTTAAGGTTGTCTCAATCTCACGATAGGTCACATGACGATCTTGCAATATCGTATGAATACCACGCCGCCCGTGCCATACAAAGAAACTGCCAACCTTCGTTAACTTTACTAGGTTAAGTTGAAAAGCAGCCTAGGCTAATACTTCACCTTTTCATTAACCCTTTAGGGCACTTGCTACGTCTCGCACAGCATTTATCAACATAACCTGCGAATCTGGATTGTCGGCGCCCAAACTTGCTGCTCCGAATTTCACCACTTCTGCAAGATCCACTAAAACAAAAGAAAACAGTGTAGATTGTGCTAAAGAACATACGAATCACATTAACAAATGGTACAACACGTGGCATGTCGGAAATTTGTTGGATTTTGAGGCCAATTAATGGTGAATTACTTCATTTGACAGTTTTTCTTCAATCCTTTTTTATTACACAAATATTTGTTTTCAAAACTGATAAACTTGATAAACAACTAATAGAGTGTTGTTTTTACAAGTTGTTCGGAGCAGTGACACATCGTTTAGTTCTCATTACTTTGTCAACTTATTTCAGATGCACAAATTAATGAGGCACGAATAAAGGTTCATTAACCATACTGTAAGTATAGTTTATGACAAGTCAATCTAAACAGCTAAATAAAAGACTAATGTACCGGGTCTGATGAATTTACTAGTTAATACCATGTAAAACCTCCCACACGAAAATAATGATTAGACCTCGTATGAATACCACGCCGCCCATGCTATACAAAGAAACTGCCGACGTTCGGTAACTATTTAGTTTTTATGCCATTCGAATTGACTTCGTCTATACTATACAAATCCTATGATGTCATATCTGCAAATCCTATGATGTCCAGATAAATTTCTACCTCTTTGATTTAACGTTGATTTTTATAAAAAAAATTATCGAGAATGTTGGAAGGTGTAACTCTACGAGTTGAACACAACTCGTACTTGCTTAGGAAAATTTCAAAGAAGCTTATGATAACCTTGTGCACTACTCAAGATTTGAGATGAGTCCTATCTTTTCACAGTCATATGACGCCAATACCAGATATGTACAATTCGAATATCATAATTATCGATAAGTACAATATTTTCCAGAACAGCAGTCTATGAGAAGTGTAAAACTCAGTATTGTTTAATAAATTTTTTATCATAAGTCAGTCTGTGATAACTTTCGATACCCCCAAATAATAAAAACTCCTTACCTATCGTTTTAACGGAATTCTGGGCAGCGACAGCAAGTTGTTCCTGGGACGAAGCTGCACCAGCAACGAGAGTCTTTGTATCTTCTACCAAGGCCTTCGCAGTTTTCAAAATATTCTCCCGATGATCCGCAAACGATTCCTGCTCGTTCTCTGGATTCAGATTGCCTGCAGTGGCGAACATGATAGTAGTTTCCAGATCACCAATTATACCGGAAACCGTCGATGCAGCGTTGATACACGCTTGCGTGCCTCTGGAGCCAGACTGGAGAGTTGCCAGAACTCTGGAGACCTTTTCAGATACGTTACGGGAACACTCGCCGACTTCACGCAGAATAATGTCGTCCTTTTGGACCAAACATTGACCTCCGGCTTGCACCAACTCGACACAAGCCCCTCCAAGTTGTTGGACGACTTCCTACAAACAAGATTGCGAATCATAGTTAATCATAAATTACAGGATCAGTATCCAGATATCTCTAATATTTTCGAGTGGTTAATTGAAAAGTACATGAATATAAATAAATCTGATTCAAAACAAAAAGTTGAGTTTGTTTTCAAAAAGATATGTAAACTTGATGTGTGCTGTTATTTCGAGTACGTTTAATTTTCCGCCCACTTCTTGTGGCATCCACCATGCCATCTAAATAGTAAATCTGTTGATTTGATTGTAAAAACTAACCCATGTTTTTATTTCCGTTTTGTATCTAGTCACCGAAGAAATTACATTTTTTACTTTTGTTTTGCTTCTTGGTAATTTTGATCTCATTCCCATTTTCAATTTAGTTGTTACATTATTTACTAGCGGTATGAGTTATAGACTCATTGCTTTAAAAACTCAGCAGTGACTGTTACCACATCGTCCAGTTATAGCTCTTGTTTTTGATGTACATATAAATTCCTTTATATATTTCTTCAGTGCCACTTAACCCACTGCTGACACCAAATTTAACGTTATTGGGTTACTAATACAGTGGCACCATTTTCAGTTATTATATCATATTTATTCAATAATATATTGAAATTGCCTCAATCAATTGGTGAATACTGTGGTCAATAACAAAAAACAATTAAAAAATAACATTGATCCCCGATCGCAAAGTGTTGAAACAACAATAGCTTCCTGATATCTACCAGCGGCGGTTCGTCAGAGGAGGCAAAGGAGGTTTAACCTCCCCATAAAATTTGAGGCTATTCATCGCAATAAATTTTTTAAGCGTTTCTTGATAATATTTGTTATTTGCGTATAAAACAGGCAGTATTGTATTATAGCAGTCCTTTTGGGTAATATTTTCAAAGTGTTTTCTTTCAATTTCAAGGTGTTTTCAGGTTTTCACTTTTTGGTAAGTTTTTTTTTCCATTCATTATGGATAAGTTGGACGAAATTGAAAAATCTGACGATATAGTCGATTGGTTGCTAACAAATAATTTTGAGTCTTTATCTTATAATAAATTTTACATTATTAAAACTCTGGGAAGGCCTCAATCAAATTTTTTTTCAATTGAAGCGTCAGATAATCGACAAAATCGAGGATTTAATATTAGTTGGTACGATAAATGCGGTTGGTTAACCTGCTCCATTAAACGAGAAAAACTTTGTTGGCCCTGTGTTTGGATAATGGACACTTACCTTTAGTTTTATGGCAACGTCACCATTAGTAGCAGCTGCTGCTGCACCAATGCTATCGTTGGATAGTTGCGCGTACTTATGCGATAGATTAGCCGACAGTTGAGCTATATTGTGAGTGTCTGTCGCAGCTTTGGTCGAGATCTCTCCGGCGATCTTGGCTATAGCTTTCGCGCAGTCCACCATGCGTGTCTGATAATCTACGAATCCGAGATCGCTATCCGAGATGATAAGCGAAGCCCGATTGTCCGTTAGACGAGTCATCGCGCGGGTCAGGTTGTCCACCACTCCCGATACGATTCCACTCTGAGTAGAGATGGCTTCGAGGTTTGCAACGAGTTCTTTTAAAGTATCGCGGGTGGAGTTTGCTGATTCGTCGATTTCAGGGTGGATGTTCAAGGCCTACAAAAAAGATACATTAAAAAATTGCAGAAAAGTCGAAAAATCTTACACAAACCTTGGGATTTCCGCCGCAATCCTTCGTGCAATATACCAGTTGTAGAGCGGACTCTGCCACAGATTTGGCTTGATCTAAAAGTTGTTCCTGCTGTTTGGAATTCGTCATATTGGAGGCAGCGCCTATGGTACTCTCAACAAGAGGCTCGAAGAATTGAATCAATTGGTTAATACCATGACCTAGAAGCAAGCTAGATATTACCAAAACTTCAACATTAGATTGACGAACCTTACCGATATTCTCAGCTTCGAACTTTGCAGCATGTCTTAAAGGTTCGATAGTATCCAATAATCCGGCAGCAGACCTTTCAACTTGTTGACTGTATATTGGTAGAGCAGTAGATCTCTGCGGCTTCAAAGACTGAGAAACCGCATCCATGTATGCCGCATCTAAAGACTTCAGGTGATTAGTTATAATCTGCGCTGCTTGCTCACATTCGTTCCTTCCTGGTGCTTCGTTACTGAATAAAATGAACATTACATGATTAAAAACGACCAAAGGTAAGTTTAGCTTGTCTTACCGAATGTTAACTACGAGTTGTTTCATGGAATCTGAAACGTTCTTAGAACTCGCAGCGAATTGTTGCCAGGTAGACGGATCCTTTGGCATGATGATGAGATTTTTCGTTGCGTTTATCACCGCACAGGATGAATCGATGAGTCTGCGCCCTGACTCAATGATAGGCTTCTGCGCTTGGAGCGCCTGCTGCGATATTTTTGCGGGGATAGAAACAAACTCGCTGGAACTGGCATAAACGCACAGATTTTCGACAGCATCTGGAAGAAAAGATTAGTACCCCTGTCTTATGCTGATGTCTTGCAAAAGCTTACCCAACAAAGGCCTAGTCGCTTCAGCGCATCTCCTTCTGTTTTCTTCAGAGTAATTAGCATCGAGAGCTTTGATCTCTTTTACAAGAGCAGCAGTACTGTTTGCAACGGCTTTTGCACTCTGAACAAACTGCCTTTTAGCAACAGGATTCGACGTTTTAGAACTGGCTACCCTGCATGAGTTGCAGAGAGCGCTAGTGTGTTTAGCTATTAGGGTGGCAGCTTCCAGAACCTGTTTCTGGGGACTTACTGATGATGAAAGAGCAGCGCAGCCTTGCTGTATGGCCTGTGAAGCTCTGGCGAACTGCGCTTGGTCTACTAGCCCAGGACGCCCAGCAATGCTAGATGGATCTGATACACCAATCTGAAAGAGGATTTTAATCATCTGTGTTACTGCTTAACTTCATATTCAGCAAAATTCTATTGTTACAAATTTAGGAGTCAACTAGCTACATATCATTGCATTGCTAGAAATCCAAGATGGAAGAGCAGTGTGAAAAGAAAAAATATTCGACATAGGAGGAAGAAGAAACTAAAGAGAGTTGAAGAGATAAGAGAAATTTTTGAATCTCATTAAAATCTATAAAGAAGACAGAGAGGCATTAGAAGTGAGTCGAAAAGACAAAGAGATCAGTAGTAAATTGGATAAGTGGAATATTTTAAAATATTCTATCAAATATTATATTTCAATCCAGAATAGCTGAATGAATCGTCTAACTTAGTGCCATTTATCACCTATGAAGTCACGAGAAATGTAAAAATACTATTCTAACGTATAAATGAAACAGATGAAAATCACTCGGCGCCCAACGTGGGACCCAAATTTATGCAAAATATACTGCTCACCAAATATGCTGTCTGGGCAGACGTCTCAACCAAGGAGCAGATGGCGTTTGTGAAACCCTTCACGTGTTCGGCGAATTTCTCGTGATCCGATGCTTTTGCACTTGCGGTAATGCCGGTCAACCCCTCTCCTAACATCTTACTCTTTTCGATTACCGTATCCAGAGCCTCATAGTAAGAAGATTCGTTGATCGGTTCCGTGGGGTTGTCCAAAAGGTACTGCATGGCCTTGACTTTCCTGATTGCATTGTCGCATTCGTTTTGGCCGGGTGCGGCGGAAGTACAAATATTGACGAGGAAATTGATGCTTTCCGTTACGGCACGTGCGGCGGCCGCTAATTGGTTTTTACCATTGGGAAGATTGGGATCAGCGGAGAGGGATTTTGCAGTGGTCAGCAACGCGCTAGAAGTTGTCGAAACGTTTTTGAGAGAATGAACCATCTCACCTGAAAAAACCATTTAGGAAAGCTCTGAATGGATGAAGGGGGTTATATCCTACCTCTAACACTGGTATCGGGGGTTTGTCCTGCCATTTCAGCGGATACCGTTAACAGGTCGTGGTATGCTGCGGCGAAATCCTTTGAAGACGAAGACAGCTGAACAGGGTTGTAAACCGATTGAACAACACTAGAGCTGGCCTCGTTCAAGTTAGCAGCAGCTGAGTTTAGTTCTTGCTGCAGCTCTCCGAAACTCTTATCAGTTTGCGGTAAGTTATTGGTGTTTATTACCGACGACCATTCTGTAATAACGATATTTATTGAGAAGACAAGCCCAGTTCGGTAGACGATTATATAAAATACAACACAGTAGAGTTTTTATAGATACATTTCACTAATATACCAACAACTATTGACAAGTAAAATTACCTATAATGTTGGTAATGGCAGTGTCGACATCCCTTTGTCCAGGAAGACATCCAATAGTTGCGTTCAAAGCCTGCCCAATGTTCTTCGCTGCTTTCTGCAGTCCGGGAGTGACGCCAACCGATTTTAGACTTTTCTGGGCCTCGATTACCAGTTCGGCAGAGTGAGCTAGTAATTCTTGACCGGAATGAATTATCTTCCTTTGAACTTCTACATTATCAGTTGTAGCAACAACCGTACGAACAGCCCCCGTGAGGCTCTTGAGACTGTGTGCGGTATCTCGCGCTGCTTGGGAAGTGTACATCTCATTGCCTTGAGCTGCAGCGCTCAACAATTGGGCGACCCCTAAGAAAAAAAGTTGTAGACTTCTTGAAGAAAAGCACTTAATTTCTTACCTTGATTCACAAGTTTGCTACTGGCTGCCAGTTGTTGGGCGCCTCTTTCGGGTGTGTCGTCTGGTAATGGACGCATTTTGTGAGCCTGCACGGCCCTCTCGAATTCATCGAGTTCCTCTTGGAGATCTGCGATCAGTTGATTGGCTGCGTCCAGTCCTAAGCCTTGGCAAGCAGGTTTAGCTCGACTTATAGCGCTATGTAACTCGCTTAATTCTGTATTGAGTTTCTGGCTAGTTGATGACAACTGGCTTCTGATCTGGTGGTCGGTCAAAGTGGGCAGTACAGATCTGAAAATATTCCAGTATAGACGAATGTTCTAACGTTTCTAACAAGTACCTACCTCGACGATTGCACGACTTGAGACGCAGGATGCAAGAACACTTCGGCGACATACATAAGCTCAACCTGGCCGTTCGTATCCTCGGGATTCTCCCCGTTAGCTTTGATAGACTCCACCAATAGCGGTATCGTCTCAGCCAACTCTTGGGTATCTTGCGAAAGCGCCTCTCTAGTTGCTATGTTCGTATTGTGAGAATGACTGGCTTGCGCCGCGGTGATGCACTGAGTGGCAGAGGAAACAGCCTTCCTGGCGCAGACTTGAACCCTATCGACTAGCTTGGCCCGGAGAGCAGGCGTAGTTGCGGCTACGACGGTGACATCTCTAAGGTCTTCCGCTGTGCGTCGTAGCATGTCTTGGTAGTTGACGTCGTGAGGGTTGCTGGCACACTGACGAGCGGCCTCGACCATCTTAGCGGTGGCGTCTGCTAGGGTTTTTGCGGCAGCCAGAAGACGACGCTGTATGTCCGAGTCGGGGAGCTTTTCAGCTTCACCTATTGTAAACAACATCAGATATGTGAATATATGTAAGAAACTGCTCTATTAAGAAAAAATCTTCAGTTCATGTCATACTGATGTTCTTTATCCTCTTAGAAGAAATAATAACACCCACCTTTGATGCTCTGAATGAGCTGAGCAGTTGCTTGACCCAGAAGCCTGGCTTGACGAACCATTTCGTTCGCGTCTCCCGATGCTGCAGAGAGTTTATCAGTAGCAGTATAAATTTCTTCAACGCTGTGCTCTTGCACAGTTTCCCGGGCTCTTTGTCGGGAAGCTAAAAATGCAGATTTACGAATAAATTTTCCCACAACTTGATTATAACACATTACCTAATTTCATGTGGTTTAATAGATCGTTGAGAGTCCTGGTAACATCAGCAGCGGCATTTTTCAACTGTCCGTTCAAATCTTCATTCGAGCATGATTCATTGCATATAACAACTAGATTCTCTACGGCATTGGCCACCTATAAGTATCAGATCACATTGAAATGTCATACTTCAAAACAATCAGTTCAACTCACCTCTCTTATTGCGGTTTTGAGTTGCTCCTGACATGCAGGTGAATGCAAAGTCGGAGCCACTACCTTAGCGCAGGCAACCAGCTGTGACGTGGCCAAGGCACACTGCGTCGCTGCTCCTATCACCCTGTTCTGAACATGCTGATCCTCGCAAGTGGAAGAAATGTTCTTAGCCTTCAGAACGAGTGCGGCTGTAGTATTGGCAACGGCTTTGGCTAGCGACAGGAGCATGTCTTGAAGTTCTTTGCTTTCTACAGTTTCTTCAGAGATGGTGGCGAGCACTTGGGTACTGGCTTCACCGACCCGGGAAGCGGCACTCAAGAGATTTTGGCGCGGCTAAAATAGAAAATTTATTCAGGAATCTTCCGTTTTATGTGTATTTAATACATCTCCAAATTTTCGAAAATATGGATTTACTTTTTCAACTAAATCACTATATTTTGTAAAAAAAGAGTAACCAGAATGTTTTTTCTCTAATGCTTTATAATCAGAATATACATCCAATGAAATATTTGTAATTTCAACCAGAATCTTGATTGTGAGGAATATATTAAACTATTAGTATCGTCTTGTTTTGGAAAGTGTTGAGAAACAAAGAGACCTAGAGCAGCAACACCTTCATACAAGAGAATAAGAGCAAATCAAGTGACCTTGCCATAACTTTTCTTGAACTTCAAATGAATACAATTTTTTCTGCTTTTGACACTACCAATTCCTCACCGTTGAAAACATTTTTTCTCATTTATCAAATTGAAAAAACGGCGGCGTCACGAAATTGTGGAAACTCTTGCACCCAATTCGGCGCCCAACGTGGGACACGTCATTTTGTCATAAATTGGTCTGTTTATAACTTTTTAATTTAGTAATCCGTCAATAGCACAATTCGTGACTGCATTAATTGAAACTATGGTTTTGCAGTAGTCCCTAAAGATGAATAAACAGCAGTTTTTAACAGTATAAACATCCAAGTTACTTTTAACATCGTTGATAAGTTTAAAGGTGTTCTAAACGTAGGTTTTCAGAAATGTAATAAACCGGTATTTAATGATTATCGCATACTTTTATAAACCCCACAGAGAACAAATTTATGTGTCTATTCATAGATATTCTTAGGATGAATACATAACGTAGTAAATCTCGCTGGTTATTTTTGGCGACGATTTTATTGGTATTCATTGTTGGTTTTTCATTGTAATCATTTGAATTAAGGAATGATTTTCGGAAATACTTTTACATCATATAAAGAACAATTCGAAATATCGATATACTCAGGTTGAATATTGAAATTTTACTAATAAATCCTTACGTCTAGTCAGTCCAACTGTCTTCAGAAACTATTTCCTAGTGAAACGTCTATAGTTTAATAATACACCACTAGTAATAGTATCAATCAAATCTTACGAATGTATTCCTAAAAAAAACACTGTGGAAAAGGTTTCGTTGACAGTGCAAGTCAGACGACTCCCAAGCAAAAAAATCTATACAGAAACTTACCTCCTTAGATTCAGGTTCTGCCACTCTGAGTAGATCAGAGAACGCAGAACACAGTTGCCTCGTAGCATCTAGTAACTTCTCTCCCATGTTGTCATCGTCCATAAGCGCTGCAATGATTTTCACATCCTTCGTCATTTCCGGCAAATTGCTTCCAATAGTTGTAATGGCCGCCCCAACTGCCGTGTGGTCAACCTAACATAAAAAACATTAAATGAATCCTGCATAGGTGATGATAAATAGTTTACCTCGTCTTGGGGACCGGAAGTTAGTGTGACGACTTGGGCTGTCGCAGCGCTCATTGCAGCTATTTGTGAACCGACATTCTGCTTCCTAGTGTCGAGGGTCATCTTCTTCCATTTCTTGGCAGCTGGGTCGGTACCGAGTTCCGGGATGGTAACTTTGCCTTGCAGTTCGATTTCGGACTCTTTTATCCTAGTCTGGGTGGCGGAAATGGTGGATATGAGCCCTCGTTGCGGTTCGGTCAGGATTGAGGTCAGTTTTGTTTGTTGAACGTTGGTAGACTGAAATATTATTTCGAAAAGTTAAGTGAATGATTTCGTGTACCCAAACTCAGTTTGAAGCTTCAATATATTTGAATATACAAATGACACTAATTTGCTTATTAAATATTTCTACTAAAATGATTGATAAAGATTGTTACTTATGATAGAGTTTTTATCTAATTTGCACAATTGGTAAATGGAGAAAAACTGGTCCCAGACTCATGTTGACACTGGAACTTGAGGATCAATTATAAACTCATAAACAATTCTGTTCTGTAAAGACAAATTCATCGTTTAGAAACTATTCAAATTGAAAAGTACCAAATATTTCAAACTGACAAATATCGCGTTTTTATGCTGAACGTTTCGTCCACAACTGCGGTGAACATTATCAAAGGATAAGATGCATGTATGATTACTGCAGTTGTAGACGGAATGTCAGGGATAAAAACATGTGGACCACGGCCAATAAACCCTGGTATACGTTTTTTGGTGTAACTATAATTGTAAATTGAAAATATTAATTATTTTTAAAGAATCTGAAACCGCAAAATTTGCTAACCGACTTGTTATAAGTAGTACTGAGGAAAAAACAACTGTTTGAACTTGGTTGGGATATTTCTAGTACATAATACCTTCACCTATGTTTCAGCTTCGTGATGGTTAATAAAATGAATTAAAAGGTATCTAATCAATATACTGTGACAAATTTAAAGAATTATCTTAAACAAATTTATTTCCGACAATGTTTCACTAATCACAAACTAATTTATTTACAACACTTAGCAAGTAACGCTTAATTTATCTCCACTATTTGAATTTTTTGTTTAACCGCTCGATTTACTTTCTGAATTCTACTGCCCTCTTGAGACGAGAAGCCGGGCTTATATATCGGTAACGATCGTTCTAGAATTCTATAGTCGTTTCGGTACTCAACTAGAGTTTAATCGGCGGTTGCCGACTGCAATCCTTTTGCGGTGATGTCATGTGTTTATTCGCTGGCCGACGTATCGGTCAGGGGCGGTCTGCCTCAAGGTTTGAAACGATTTTGAGGGTTTGAGATCAAATCCCGAGATGGAATCCAGGTTTTGCTGATGCCGAAAGAGCAAATGTTTATGAAGAAAATGAAATACTAATCAAATGACTATCAACTGAATGGAACACCAAGAAGCTGAAAGTTTAATATTTGTAAAATATCTTTACCAGTATTTTCTTTCAGAAGATTGTTTCTATTGCAGGCACTTGAAAAAGAAATGGCATATTCTTCAAGTAGATTATCTTCAAGTAGGTACCTTTTATGAAGTTCAAATATTAAATTGTGGAGATCAAATCGTATGGTGTAGTTTATGAAAATAATTTCAATATTCATGGTTTGATTCAATGTAATGAAATATATGATAAAAAATCATCTTTCTTGATCTCAATGCAACTTCCTTGAATTATGTCCTCACAGAACAGTTTTTTTGGAAAACATCTTCCTTTCCAGAAAAAAAAAACTACGAAAAAAATTAGCATTTTTGTGAGAAGGGAACCAACTCTAGAAAAATAAGGTTAAGAAAGCAACCTCTACTTGTTAGTGTGTTATGCACATTTTGAAAATGTTAAAAATCAAAAAGCAAATGTTGCTTGATTGATTATCTTTGTTGGTAAATTATATTACTACATGCAATAACTCGTGAATGAAATATTTACAATCATCGCATTTGGCAATTGATTAGTCTCGAAGGAGTGTGGAACTCTAAAGTGCAAAAATATTTACAGAAAACGTGTTTTGCTGTACCTACTCTCATCCCTGTCCAAGACATAGACATGTAACCAAAATTGACAGATGTACAAACGATTGACATAAAAATGTTTCTATTCTATTGAATGATCTATTTCATTTCGAATATCAACGAGCCAAGCAATTCCTGATATCCAATTCATGTCAAGTTATAGATATCTGCTACAAATGTCCATAAAACATACTTCAGTTGCCTTGGAATGAATATCCTTTTGAAGATATTGTACGACAGCAAATGAATATATTTATTTTACTTGGAGATAAATATGCATCTCTCGCAACTACCTACGCCTTAGGTTCTGGTAAATGCCTGCTGGAAAACAACTACTTCTCCGGCTAATACCACTCTGGACATTGAATTATATTCTGTATATAAGAGTTCATAAGGTATCCATGCAGAAGGGCGTCATCGATGGATTTCTCATAGACAATCACGAAGGATAACTTATGGATATGCAAGGTGGTACATAGAGTGCTCATCAATATATCCATTGGATGAAAATTGGATGTCTATCATCATTGAATGTCTATGAGTATTGACTTAGCAAATTCCATATGGTTAGTGAAGGTTTTAATGACAAAGTCACACATTCTCATGAGACTTTGCTTGAAGGTTTCGTGGTCAGTTTCAAACTTAATTCAAATTTTTTCTGAACTGCCTAGCCGAAGCCTACAGGTAGTGTGAATAAAGAGATGGCCGAAAAAAACTCTGACTTCAATTTTACCACTGAAATTATCTTATGAGATGTTGATTAGTAGCGGAATTGAAAACTTTTTAGTAAAAATAATACGAATTATGATCTTACCGCTGGAGGAACATGAACCACACTGACAGGTTGACTTATAGTGGTACTTTGTGCGCCACCCATTATACCCGTACTGAACGATTTCTCACCTGAATTTATAGAAAATAAAGAAATGAAGAAATGAAAAAAAACTAAACATTCATGAAATAAAAGAGTGAACAAAAAAAAACGATATCCTATACTTGAGACTGATGAAAACTTACCATCGCCTGGTCTCCATATGCCCGGCATTGACAATGATTCAGTGTTTGGCATCATCTTCTGATCGGTTTTATGCTGCAATATGGTATAGCTGAAAAATTTTTATTGTTGAAATTATCAAAAGTGCAAAAACTATTAGTTATGAACATAATAAAGCCACATTGAAGAGTGGCTGAAGATGAAAACAAAAGTAAGCAAGAAACATGTTGAATGAACATGACACTATAGTTTTGCTGTACTGATAGTCATTTGGTAATAAATGCGTTTTTGTTTCAGGAATGTAGTTGTTCAAAGTTGCCAAAAGATGGTACCCTTACAAAAATATTTAGTTCACATCAAAGTTTTCATTTCTGAATTGAAAAGGTGTTTATTTTCTCCTCTAATCGACATTCAGATCCCCCTATTACATATCGAAGTTTTACATACAGAAAAACATATTTCCAAACGCCTTTTTCTTGAAATGATTGAAATTAATAAGTCTTCTGATTGTATGATTAAGAAAACTGGCATTGATAATCTCAGCAATATATATAGTAACTTACTGGAACTACACCAAAAACATAATGATGATAAAAATCGTATCAATCAATAACTCTCTCTTTAGAGTTAAAGATTATCAAATCTTCATGACCATTGAAAAATGATATTGATGTGAAGGTATGACATTTGTCAAACCAAAAAAATCCTATGAATGTTCAACTTTTTTTCATCCATTTATACGTTCAATTGTGGAATTGACCGCGGTGGTAATGCGCCCAACTCACGATCGGAAGGCCGTGGGTTCGATTCCTGCCTCGACCAGATATTTTTCTCGAGAGAATTTATCTGGTTGAAGCGGGGATGATTCTGCAACCGTGTTAGGAATCACATGCAATCTAATTGTATGAAAGAATAAACAAGAAGATAAAACGTTCAGTTAAAGTAGAGCCATGAAGAAGATAGCACAGTCTGCCATCGAAAGCGCTCACATATAATAGTTAGAAGTTATTAAAGCTTCAAATCCTGTTTGTGAACAAGTATCAATATTAAAACATTCAAAATAAAGGAAAACTATCTGCAACAATAGATAGATGGTTACCGTTTATCATATATGTTTCCGGTGTCTGGTGGAATTTCAATAGCAAAATAGAAAACATGATTCTGAAGGAATTGAAAGTGTGTGCAATTTGAGCAAAAATTATTCTTTGAAAGACATTTTTTGTGGAAGTCATTGTTTTTAAAATTTGTTTGGCTTCAAATCCTTCCACAATCTGAAAAAGTAACATATCAACAGAGAATCTACTGAAGTTTAGAGAAAAACAGATAGATAGAATTTTAGGTTTTGAGAATGAAAAGAGACTGTTTCCTGAAACTTCAGCCTCTGTAAAGAAAGCTAAGTGTATGAATTATTCTTAAAAATTGATTTATCTCATTCTACAGGCCAAATTTATAAATATGATGAGTAACTGACTAAATAGTTTCTTCAGAGGTTTATATCAGTCAGTGAAGATGCCATTTCTCCTTTCAAATTCACTGCTCTGACCACAAGGATACATGATTAGACTGTATATTATACGTTTATTGAGTATATTATTCAATTTATATTCAGATTATGTCTAGTTGAGTCCACAAGGTAGGGTTGATGAGAGTACTACTCAAATAATAACAAAAAAAAAAAATTAGGAAGGAAATGTTGCTTCAGATCACTTTTGTTGTCGTCTTTCACTATTGAATGTTTTACTTCGCTTACTCTTGCTGTGTCAGACAAAATACGATGATATAAACTTACTTGTGAGGCTCAACACTTTCTTCGAACATGGTGGACCCTTCGTTGCCATCGATTCCGAAATGATCCTTGGCTTGCTTCTTCTTCAGAATGATATCGATGTACCCGGCGATGATCTGCTGGATCTGCTCCCCATCAGGCGTCTGTACGGAGTAGTAAGACGTGGAATAGTCACCGAAATCCAAAGTGAACGTGTTCGGACTTGCCCCCCAACGCCTGACCTGCGTCAAGGGCCACGTCTCTAGTATCTCCTTAGTTTTCTCGTCGAGACGCATCACCGAATCTTTGGTTACGCCCAATAATCTGGGGACCAGCTTATTTTTCGCCTTCATTTTTTCTTTGACGAGGAAGAAAGTGACGCCATACGTGCTGAGAGAGCGGGCCTTCTTCGTGTACTTCACTTTGGCGTCTAGTTCAGTGAGGCCTTGGTTCTTTTTGTGTTCACTGAAGATTTTCTTTTCGATTCCTTTGGTTTTCGTGTAGGATTGGGGCAGGAATTCTTTCAAGCTGAAAGAAAAACCGTTCATCATGTGGTAAGTTGAGTCGTGTTGTATGTGTTTCAGGTGATAACAATTTCACAACTTTGTAGTTGAAATTGAAAAGAAATAATTCAAAATCATGTCGAGAAAAATCTATCAATAAGGCTTTTGACAATTGGAGAGTCACCATTACAAATGAATAATGAACGATGAATTCTGCTATTCGTTTTCTTTTTTTATTATTACAAGTTTTATACTAGCTTCACCTCTATGTATGTATGTATGTATGTTTGTTTGTAACTCTCAAGCTCGAGATCTGTATTTGATAGAATTATTTTTTCTAAAAATGTTTGCGTATCATTACTTTACCATTAATTTTCAATATGAATACATAATAATGCCCGAAAAAACACTATCACTCACTACGTAGTACGTACCACACTGTATTCTGCATCAACAAACCTCAAACGCACCGCCCATGAACGAATAACGAATAAACTATCAACCCGAAATAATAAATGCCATACGTTGCTTTAATCATAAAAATGAATCAGCTACCTGCTGATGTAAAGAATATAGTAAATAAAAGTGTTGTTTTTATGATGAAAAGAGAAATGAAAATTTCTGTTTTTTACCACTTTTATTTGTTACTAACGTTATTGCAGTTTCGTCCTATACGGACATTTTCAAACTTATGCAATAAACTAACTAGTTAGTTTATCCAACTAACTAGTTAGTTGGATACTAACCGCAACTGAAAAGGCGTTGTTCAAAAGTGATTACTTTTCAACCCGTCATATAATTAGAATCAGGAAGGAAAATCTTCAAAGAAAATGACTTCTTAGAGTAGAACAAGATCAGAATACTCGAATTAAGAGAGGGACCAGTGAAGAGTCTCATGGCCGTTAAAAAGGTAACTGACGTGGAAAAAATCTGTTGGAGTCTTGAATCTACGAAACATGTGGTGGATATGTGGTATTCTTGGAGCTAGTGGGAAAAATAAATGTGGCAGATTAGAGTTACTTTCATCCCAGTGCAGCATCTCCGAAACTATGCTCATATCATTTTGGTATACTAGCTTATCAATGTTCATGTTGACAAATTGAGTTCAATATAAAAACTCACTCTAAAAATCCTGGCTTATGCTTCGTGTCGACGTGATCCCCGAACTGAATCTGGCACTGTATCCCTGCAAATTCGCACGCCATGTCCTGGGTGATGGGATGCGTTCCATTCAAAATAGCGTCTCGAGCTTGGACGTACAGCAAATTCAGCTGTACCGGATCTCTGGAATCAATATTCTGATCCGAATAGAAAAATTTCCGTTTCAACAGAACAGTCTCATTCTCGTCGATCCCTTGCTCCCTCAGAGTCTTCGCGGGGTCCAACCAGTTCACCTCGTCTTCGGTATGGAGCTTCTTGCGGAGTAAGTCCATTTTGACGTCTCTTTCGCGTTCCTCCTTCTTCCTTTTCAAAGTTAGGGTGCCGTAGTTTCGATTGTCGACGTTCTCTTGGTTCTCGGGTTCTTCCAGCACCAGAGAGTATTCGTCGTGATTCGTGATGCCTAGTTTCGTGCAAATCACCACCATCAGGTTCGCTATTATTTGCGAGTCGTCTACCATCATCGTTTTTATGGTGCCTGAAACATTCGTTTTTGGAGAAAATACTATGCGAGGTAAATGTTTTGCTTTCTCGGATCGCGAAAGCTTTTGGAAAATAGTGCAACTAGACTTTTGGTCTCTGATCACGAATATGAAGTCACAACTTAGCTCCGGTCTACTTTCGGAGATACGGCAACTCCAAAGTAAATTATATCAAAATGGCATTAATTTCTAGTTTGAATTTGCAACACTGCCAACAGAACCAAGGAAGAAGTTCTTTTTAAAGTGTCATTCAGTTTCATTAACAATTGTGTTTGTAATAGTTTGCTGAAAAAGATACAGTGTTAAGGAAATTCATCGTTTCGTAGACTGTAGTGCCAAGTTTCCACTTTAGATTCGTCATAAAAAACTAGCACGAACCAAAAAAAACATTTACTGTATAAAAAATACGATATTTATGACTGACATCAATTCAATGAAGATGAAATAGAGAGAAAGTTGAATCTTATTTTCGCCAACAAAATGGAACTATGTACTCATAACTGTTTACCAATAACGCAAAAAGTATATATCACTCACCATCCAGCATTTTCACTCTTAAAGCTCTCAGCTTTTTTCGATATTCAAGCATGTCTCCATTTCTCAGAATATAATATTCCAAATTCCTTCCGGGCTCTAGCCATACNAAAATTAATCTAATTACTACATTTATCAATTCACGATATGTGATTAGTAAGGTAGTCAGAAGGTAATGAAAATTATTAGGCTCTGATGGTAAAATGCTGAAAACTGTTGATAGATTACAAATCACCAGTTTTATATATTGAGGTTATACAATTCCCCGTCAGACAAAAAAAGTTCAATATTCTTCATATTTAGAACTCGAAGAACACTGGAAAATATTTAGGTAAATGTGAATGCACACGCATTTCTTCTAGTTTTCATAATTTACAAGTGTTCAAAAACATTTTTTTATTAAGCAAGAATGCTCATTTCTGTTGCTTTTTGGTGAATGAAAATATTGGAAAAAGTTTTCATAGTAACGAAATCAAGGAACATAAACCTCAAATTCAGAACCTAGTACATGAATAATAATTCAATCCGTGTCAGTTTGTGAGATTTTTTTCAATGACTGGATTTTGATGACGCTTTTTTAGAATAGTGACATCTACCTGCATATTTCTGAGAGATATTTGAAGTTAATGTATAAAGAATATTGGTTTCTATGCACCATTGGTCTGATATGAAAAAAAAAACCGATAATGTATTTCAATGAACGAAACGTCGCATTGAAAATTGATTCTTAGCAGATCATAACAAACATGAAATAGCACAAAACATTTCTGTTCCTCAATTTCATGTTATTAGGGATGGGGCCGGTAGAGCCAACAATCCAAATGCAACAATTTAATTTTTTTCAGCTGCTTTTTGATTGCCTATTATTGATATCGATCAGAGTATCTTACTACATCGGATACATGTATATAGCTTTCTCAGCACAAACAGTCAATATGCAGTGATCAAAGAAAGCAGTTTTCAGGAGAAACAGATTCTGTACTGTACTTCCACAGGGTTCTGTCCTGGGCCCCATATTTATTATTTATGATTTGAATAAAGTACCGGTTGAACATGTATGCAGATGATACATTTGCCATAATTAGGATTTTGTATGAAAAATGAACTGCTAAACACAAAAATGTATAAATATACTGGATGTTTCATTCTAAATTCCAAACTTGAAGTAATTTCCTGTAAAACTAGAAATTCCACAAAAATATTTTTGTTTCAATCAATCCAGATTGTGTGATATCATGTGAAACACCAAATTTCCTCATCGATGCCAGAAGATACAAATCTGTAGACACCCGGTATATATCAGTTACATTCAACTTTGTGTGCGACTCAAGATGGTTGTCTCGAACCAACTCACATCTTCCGAATGTATAAACTTATCTCAAAAAAAGTTCTATACTCACTTTGCCCATGTGCTTCGGTGCACTTTTCCTGTATGATTCGACATGCGTCATGTACCGACGTCGAGGGATCGAAGACGATGGTTTTGGTAACGTTACCGTCGAGTATGTTGATCTTGAGTGACAAGGCCATCTTGATTTCGAAAGGACTGATCTGAAACAATAAAGTTTTTTTAGAAGGTTACTCTCACGATGCATGGTAATCAATGTTATATTATATATACAGCTTGTCAAACATAGGAGAATATATTTGACAAGCTGTACTTCAAGTCATCCTCTTGTTTCTTTAAAAGTCTATCACAAAATGGTGCTGTCGGAAAACGAAATATCAATTCTGATAAAAGTAGTGGAGATAAGGGAGACCTGGAAGCCAAACGAGTTATTGGAAGGGATGAACTCGATCATATGTCAAAATGGCTGTCATTTGTGACAGACTATTTCCAAATTATTGAAATAAACCCATTCAACATTAAAGACGCTAACCCAAATACATGGATAAAACATTATGAGTTCATGGCAGTGTCCAACAAATGGACAAAATGTTGGCTTCGACGTTTTTAATTAATTTTTTAATGATAAAATATGTCGGTTGCGTCAATAATAAAAGATATGAATGAGCGAAAAAAAAAATTCTCAATTCATTCTCATTCTCAATTCAATCCGTGTCAATTTGTGGAATTTTTTTTTCAATGACCTAATTAGCAATAAAGACGTTATAAAATCGATACAGACGATAACTTGAATCGTATGGACAATTTTTCCTAGACTATTCGACAAAACACAAGAAAAAAAACGGATATAGTATTTTTCATAATGAACAAAGCAGGCTGTATGTTTTTTATCAAATTTTTGGTGGTTTTGGAGATACTTCATCTATATTTATCTATTATACAATAAACACCTAATTTCTTAAAAATTTTGACCTCTGCGATTTTTTTTTAACTCTTTCATACAACAATAAACTCGTTTCATACCTATAGATCTCGAGACGGTATTTTCCAACGTAACGGTCCTGAATTATTTCGTGAAAGATCAAAATTGTTTTGTAACGTTACCGGCACACCTAAAAATAAGCCCAATTACTGAATCCTATGAAGAAAAATGCGCTTTCGTCAACCTCGCTAAATGGGCGCGTTTTAGGTTATGCCCCGCCGCCTTTGTTTCCAAATTCGCCCAAACCGATTCGCAATCGGTCGAAAACAAGCGACAACCACCATTTAATTAATCAATCACGAAAAACACGACAAGAAATCGATGTGCGAGCCGCTCGACAAACAAAAACCTCTTACACAAATTTCCTAGGAGGTTATGATCCATCACGTCCATCTCTTCCATCGAAAGAAAAAAACACCCCCGATCACCGAAGCTACTCCGGAACAAAATCAAAAAACAAAAAATAAGCGGCGTTTTCGTCAGTGCCCACACTATTAGCCCGACGACCAGTTAAGAAATAAGTCAATAAACCACTAAGAAGGGAACATGTCGCATCTGATAATTGAATCATACGCGAAAGTGAGGGTGAATTCAGGGGGTGGCTCTGGAAAGTAGCGGAGAAGGGATGCTGCGTTGCCGGGGTAACAGGAAAATCGGTCGTCGCCGTTGAGACGACCCGACACTGCGGCGTCGACGACATAGACGTAGGCGTCGAATGGCATTAAAGGCGAACAGCAACAAGATTGACACTATAAATAGTAGCTATATTTCCTTTTTTTAATTGAGCGACCCTCTAACGATAAACCATGTTTCACCAACATTGACCTAAACTTTATCATTCATTCAAAATTCCGACCTATTTCATGGAATAATGCTACGTGCGCTAATACTACAGCACATTTGTTCAGTATCCAAAATCATGAGGGTGGTGAATCGAAGAAGGGACCCCCAAAATAAAATCATGGCAAACGTGACCCAACATAGCAAAGTTCGGTATTGCGCGAATTAAGGTTGGAACTGCTTGACCATCCTCCTAACTCACCTGATCTAGCCCCAAGCGACTTCTTTTTGTTCTCTAATCTAAAAATTGCTTTCGGAGGACAAACATTTTCGTCGAATGAAAAGGTAATCATCTTGGTGAACAATTATTTTGCAGAGGAAAACGCCGAGTACTATTTGAACGGGTCACAGAGACGTTAGAGTCGCTGGGAGAAGTGTGTTGAGTTGACACTATGTTGGAAAACAAAGAAAAACTGAAAAAATGTCTTGTTTATCAGAATTGAATGTTTTGAACTTTGTAATAACTACCATTGTGATAGTTAACGAAAAATATCATTTTCCATTTAGTGGAATTACGGTGAATTGCGGTCAGTGAGTTAATTGTTGTTTCGTTTGGTGACACTTAGAACGGATCAGTATTTTACACGGATACCGTACCCGAGAGGGAGACCAGAAGGGTATAGTATCGTGAGTCAATTTGGATTTTTTCTACTAACCCCCATGTCGGTATAGATAGTGAGGATGTCATTTTATTTTTGTAATAATTGTCTTATTGTTGTTTCGTATTGGGGACGAAGGGCAATAAATTACACTACACCCCTTTCATATGTGTAAATATATCAGCAAATAGTAGACACGAGTTTGAAGACAGGCAATTTCAAATAATCATTTCAGAATTTCCACAAAACTCCAGTAGAGTAATTTAGGTTTTTGTGTAAGTTGGAATTCTATCTTATGAGAGAATATATAACATTTCACAAGTTGATAAAGAGATAATTTTTGTTTGACAATCAGATATTTGAGATGTGCTTTCTTATAAAAATTTTGATCTTACTTTTCAAACATTTTTGCTTATTGTTTTGTTGGACTTTCATGTTATATTTTATTACAGTTACTTGTTATGATCTATAAACATACCCTTTTATTCTTTTTTTTTGGTTTTGTAATATAAGCCTAATCTGAAGCTTGTTGTTTTTAATGGCTCACTATTCGAGCAAGTCCCGCACCATTTCAGGGTACTTGAAAGGCCTTTAGCCTTGAGTATTAGCCTCCTGCCTCGTTCCGGAGTGGATCTAAGAAGGATAACAATCTCAAAAAGGTACACGGTGTAGTTAGGTTTCAAAAAGACCGGCCCTCGTGCGTTTGGCACGAACCCTACATCTTTTTCGGACCTGTCTTGATATTCAAAATTTGATGCGGAGAAATCGGCATCTGGTGACAGCCGCTGCCAAATTCATTTCAGAAAATAAATAAATCAGAAATGAGCATTTATCACAATGAAAACGGTCGGTATATTCAATAATGATATATAAAACCATATATGAATACAATACACATATACGGTTATATTACAAAATATCATTTATATTTGACATCAGAAGTTTGGTCATCGAGACATTGGAGTTCTCAAGAGAATCGTCAGAGATGAGTATTAAAGTTGAAAATTGCGAAGTTACACAAGTTTGTACATGTTTTGAAGAAAAAACCTTTCCCGAAGCAGTCGCTCCATAAATGAAGATTCGTTTTCCATTTGATGTCATAATGAATCAGAAAGAATCATACTCGTACAGTACTATTTTTCCCCTGCATTCCGCTCAGTCGTAAATTGTCCTCCTTTCTCAAAGGGCAAGGGCTAGGGCACCATTTAATTGAAGGATGTATATAAAATATCCTAATTTCGCCGAATATGTCGAAGCGGAATACTTAATTGATGAATTTCCATCTCATTCCATATGCAATATCCGCTGCGTGCTTTCACACAGTATAATAGTGTTAAAAGGAGGCGAAAAGGGTCGCTTTAACTATTCATCATTCGACAAATATCTCATTAACTCACTTTTATGTCTCGGTTTATTGCCACCGATATTAAAATACAGCGTGATACGGAAATCCAGGCAGGCCACGTGAGTGGAATCGCGCACGAATTATAGCTTTCAAAAAATAAATTCTCGACAAAATCATCTGTTGAGGCAACAAAGATGATTAGTACAGAATTACGGTAACTTTTCTGGAGTTACCATGATCAAAAATTGAACAAAGGACTTTCCTGTATTCCCGTCAATCATCTGATTCCAAAAAAAAAAATCAGAAAATTTTTTGCATTTCAATTTAAGGCAAACGATTAATCAAATATTGCAATTCTTTCAACATTCCCACTACATGACTGAAATATCGAAAGCTGTAGCTGTCTTTCTCTCCATTGAATAGTACTTACCGATCGTATATTTCTGATTAATAATGTAGATTAGATTAGATTGTCGGGAAGCTGGCCCATGGCCTGATTCACTGCTACCTTTTTAGATCTATTGTGATGCTCCTTGGTTGTTAGAGCTCATTGTCTAGCTAGATCTCTTTGATGAGACTCCATAGCCTTGACACTGACCCATTCATATAGCTGGCAGCCTTCGATTTCTCTTCCCCGCATCTTGCTATCGCTTCGCATTCACAGAGCAGATGCAGTGCGGTTTCTTCCTCTTACTCTTTCGCCTGCCTCATTCCTGGGAGCTCATTCCACCAATTTATCGATTCTGCTTGCATCCATGAATTTATGGATGTCTTTATACATGCTTTCGCTATCCCGCAGCAAGGTTCTGGGCCGACATAGACTTGGATGCGCCTTCACGGGCTAGAACATCGGCCTCGTCATTGCCTTTGTGACCCTCATGTTCGGGCACTCAAGCAAGAATGATCTTATTTTGGGTACTCAGCTCAGACAGCTTCCCACCAATCTTGAGAAGATTTGAAATGAGCTGAGCGCCTCAATTGCTGCCTGGCTGTCGGAGAAAATGGTAATCGTTTTTTTTGTGGCTTTCTGCCTGTTTATTTCCCCTATACAGTGTTGGATGGCCGCTACATCTGCCTGGAACACTGTTGCATTATGTCAGAGGCTGAGTGCGATTCTCATCTTTGCTCTGCCTCTGTATATACCGGCCCCGACCTTGGGTCTTTGAGCCAAGTTTCTTCCGCGTTTACCGGTGGACCGTTTTGCCAGTCATCTCTACTTGGTATGATGATTTTGAAATCTTTTCGAAAGTTGTACTGCGGAACTGTGTTATCCACGGGCATTCTCAGTATTGGATCCGCCTTCACTTCATTGTACAGTTTCTAATATTCTGCACCGTGTGACTGGCTGATTGGGGTTTGCCCCTGCATTAGCCTGTGTGTCACCAGTCGAGCTTCTCTTTGTATGTAAAGGGTTTTTCAATTGGCGCGAATAGATTT